TTCAAGTCTAAAGATAATTTTGATAATTTCTTGAATTTATTATTATCAAAAGTTATTTTTAATCCATATCTTTCTAATCCTTCATATTCTTGTATTTCTATATTATTACTTTCTATTTCCTCGATTTCTTTATTCAGATTCTGACTCATTTTCTTCTGAATCTGTCTCGCTTATGTATACTTCTTGATTATAATATTGTTCAATATCTGATATCTCACTTAATTCATCTTCTATCTCTAAATATTTTGTTTGTAATATTTTAACTTTCTTTTTATTACAATTTGGACTTTTATGACATATTTCTCCACAATTCCAACATTTACATTGGCATTTATCTTTTTTATAAGGTTTGTTCTTGTGTTATTTATTCGGATTATACATTCTCTTATAATATCTTCTTATAGGTTTTATATTTTTTTTTTCTAAAAATTCTGAATTTTTTAAATCTTCTATTCTTATATTTTCTTTTAATATTTTTCTTTTCAGGATTTTATCCTCATTATGTAGGTTTTTTCATATCTTCACAGCATATCCTTGTTAATTTTCCTAATCTTTTTAATAGTCTTTGTTGACATATATGCATTTTCAAATAGAAATTTTATTCTTGATCCTAAAGATCTTGATGTTCTAATATTATCTCTAATATATTTTTCAAACTCTATCGTAAAATATATTCTCCATGTTCCTGATAATTTAGTATAGTACATGTCTTGATATATTTTTTGATTTTCATTATTATAAAATTGTATATAATGGTAATTTCTAAATTCACAAGTATATTCTCATGTATCATCTTTATTATATAAAAAGAATAGTATCATTAAATTTGTCCAAGTTAATAAGGCTTTTTAGTATCTATTTTGCAATCTAGATCTAATTTTGTTCCTCNAGGCTTTCTTAGTATCTATTTTACAGTCTAGATCTAATTTTGTTCCTCCATGATTAATTTGTTTATCATAATTATCATTTAGTTCAAATCTATCTTTATATTTGTTTACTTTAGGTGGTTGTCTATCTCTTACCGTATCATAGAACTGTTTATATGGTTTATTATATATGGGTTCATAACTTTCATCTGGATCAAAATTTTCAGCTTGGTTAGAGGTTCCTGCTGGAATGGGTCCTCCTCCAATATTCATTAGGATTTGGTATTCACTTATATTTTCTAAGCTTAATTGGTCAAAGTTTTCTATTAATAAATATAATTCATCATTCATCGTTATTATCTTCTTCAATTTTTTCTTTTTCTAGTAATTTTTTGAAATTTTCTTCTTTTTCTAATATTTTAGGTAAAATCTTTTTCATAAATTTATCATCCATACTTCATGCTTCTATTATCAAATTTTCTTGTTCTATGTGTTTCTTTCCAATTTTCGACATCTCTTTTTCTATAAATTTCTTATCTATTTTCTTTTCTTTGCTTCTATTTTTTTCTTTTAATACTCTAATTTCAATTTTTAATATATTTATATCATTTCTTACTTCTTTTATTTCACTCTTTAAATTTTGAACATCAGGTATTAATATTTTTATCAGTTGTTTACGTTCATTCATATGTTCATTCATTTCTTTACTAATAAGGTTTGTTAATATATTCAGGTTTTATTTTTGATTGGGTAAAATAAAATAATTCACATTCATTATCTTTTGATTCTTTTATTATTTTATCAAATCTGAATTTATTATATTCTGTAGTTGGAAGTTCTTTTAAATTCTTAAAATATCTTGCTTTTATTTTAGATTTTTCTTGTCTTATTTTCAATATTTGTTTTTCCTGACTATTTGTTAACTTTTTTGGTGCATTTTCTCTTTGTGGTATTAATAGTACATTATCTATTTGTTGGTGTAATTTATACATAGTATTAAGATCTTTTTCGAGTTTTCTTTCAAGTTTTTCCATATTTAGTTAATTATTAATTTTTTATAATGATTCATAATTTTCTGTACAATATAACATAATTTCCTCTTTTTCAAATTCTGTGATAATCTTTTCGTATATATATTCATCTTTTATGGATCCTATTATTACTTTATGTAATATTTGTTCTCTTATTTCTTTAGGAGATTCTTTAATTATAATTAATGTTAGTATTTTTAATTTTTTTAGGGACATGTTCTATAAATATATAACTTATTTGTTTTTCTTCTAACTTATAATACCAATATATTTTAGTAATTGTAACTTCCATGATTTTTATTAAAAATTTTCTTTATTTTATGTGGTCTTTATAGATCTATGGCTCTAATACCAATGGGGGGATACTATGAGCGAACAAAAATCAAATAATCTAAAATCTAATAATCTTTAAAATAATTTCTCTAAGATTCTAAAAATTCTTTTAGTAAGGCTAAACTTATTCTACTATTTATTATGGATATATAAAATTTCAATGCTAATTTAAATTTAAATTTCTTATATTCTAGAGGTAATCTGTTAGTAATAGACTTTCTCATTTATAGAGTTTTAAGTAAATCTTCAAAATTTAGTAATGTTTGAGAATTTATAATGTCAAGATCTGTTATTATATCTATATTTGGATTAAAAGATATATCACATTTTAAAATATTATTTTTGCCTTTTTGCAATTTATCTATAATATCCTGTATATCTTTTATTATTATGGATCTTATTATTCTCTTAGCAAAATTTTCCATCATGTTTTCCTTAAAGCATTTTAATATTTTTTGAAATGCATTTAATTGTTCTTGATATCCGATCTTATCAAAATTATTTTCAAATTCAATTTCTTTTTGTTTTTTGCATAATTTTCTTAATTTTATATGGTCCTCTTTTAGATCTGANNNNGTCCTCTTTTAGATCTGAATTTTTTATAAGTTTTATCAGTCATTCTTATGATAATAATTTTTTATAGGTCTTGATTGTATTCTTTTCATATGATGGTGACTTAGATGCAATTATCATTTTTAGGGGTATTTTAGATAGTTTCAAAATTTAAAATAGTCAAAGGCTATCTTTGAATTTTGGGCATTTTCAATTATTTCCTCGTATTACTTGGGAATAAATTTCACACAAGCCATGCTCAAAGGGGCACTTACGGTTTATTTTAGACAAACAATTATATCCACCGAATCTAACTAATTAATACTTACATCTTGATTGGGAGTTTCAAGGTAGCGACTTTGAGCCTTTATGAACGAATCGATTTTGAATAGTGAGTAACGAGTTTTAAAAGCAATCCAATCCATGCTTGAAAATTTATTATTCACAGGTTCAGAATTTTTTTAAAAAAGAATGAAATTATATTTTATATATAGTGAAAATTTCAGTTGATAGTTTCTTGTATGAATTTTTTTATTCATAAGAAATATTTTACTTCTGGATAATTTTTTACATATAAGATTTAACTTTATTTAACTAAATAAGTTAAATATTAATTTAAAATTTTAAGTTATTATTTTTTACTTATAAGTAAATTTTAAAATTATAAGTTAATTATGTACAATTAAATAATTTTACACATAAGTAATTTTTTACTTATAAATGACTTTTATGTTTTAAGTGAATTTTTTTATCTTATTAATTGCATTTTTACTTTATAAACAATTTTTAGACAAAATTAATTTTCATCTTATAACTAATATTTTAATCATAAGTAATTTTTTTTTATTATAATGTAATTTTTTAGAATAAATATTTTTTTAGTTATTATATATTTATTTATAAGTTAGTTTTGAATATTGGTTGGAAATAATAGTTTTATGAGAGGTAAAATAAGAAAAGAATATAAGAAACGGTCAAAATTTGTCAATTTGGTGAGTTGAGAGAACCACTCAAAATTAAACTATACCGTCTTTGGGTGATTTTTAAACCAACCAAAATCGATATCCAAAAAACCTAAGAAGCACAAGGCCTTCCAACTCCTTATAAACGATGACACTCAAAATCGGTGAAAAAAAACTCTCAAACAAGACCTTGGGACCCATTTAGCACAGATTTTAAAAAGCCAAAAGATTATGAGATTACTGAATAATTTTTTGAAAGTGTTCGCTGAAAGTAACTTTTAAAGTTAACCTGAGATAAATTTCTCATAAATCTCTTCTACAAGAAACCAAAATCCTACCAATGGACCCTTAAGAGTTAAAGCTTGAGAACATCTAGTTCGAATTTGAACTAGTTCAAGCTGGCTGGCCATAAATTTTCACTAGAAGGGTCCGAGTATTTTCAACTGAAAAATGCATTAAAAAGTGTATATCAAGGTCTACATCTCCTCACATGGAGGGGTCCACTCGAATAAAACCCATGTGAGGAAGTGTACACCGTGATGTACATCCCGATATACCACTAGCATTGCTCTTTTCAACTAGTCATAAATAGAACTAAAACAATATACAAAACTGTACCGCAAATAGTTACGCCCTTTTTTAATTTTACCATTATTTCCCATATATTTTCCACAACTTACCGTAGAACTTCCCACGTGCCGCAAGCAAATCCTCAATCGTAAGCATATTTCAGTAGAAACGGCATTGGCAATAAGATACAATCCTTTGCTTTCTTAAAATTCTGTGAACAGACTTTATGAGATCACATAAAAACAATACGAATGCCGCAACATTTCTAAAACTCGAAAAGAAAATAACATAGTTTGCACAAATTACATGTATTCTGGCAATTACACAAACATGACGAGGCCTAACATCTAAAACCATGGAGCCGGAGTCGAGTTTAACAGACAAGACAATAGACGGTAAAGAGTATTGTGTTCCCAAAGTAACAAAATTCATATACAATTACCAAGATGCTAAATTATCCTCATTGAAAAGATGCTAAGAAAAAGACCAGGCTACCAAGCATGTGCAGTTAACCATGAATAGAGATGGAATGGAGAATATCATGATTAATCAAAGCTAGAGCACGGATTGGATGATCACAAATGCTCAGATACAAGTTGTGTTGGTATATTATCCAGATGAACATCACAGATCAGTCGGCCTTTGGACACAGGAATATATCCTTCAATTCACACTTGCAGAAGAAATTAGATATCAAATCCTGGCAATGCAAACTGGGACGCGAAACTTTCAACTCTAGTTCTCAGCTCGACAATTTCTTTGCTGCTCTCAAGTCCCTTAAGAAAAGGTTTCGGCACTTTTCCATGTTCTCTCTGCACTGAACTCGCAATCTGTACTGCTCTGAGGAGAAAGTCAGCCATTGTCTCGAAATCAGCCTCCAGACAACCTCTAGACGTCATTGCAGGCGTACCTGCAGGCATAAAAGTCATAACCAATCTCTAGCGCACAAATGTTTCTCATGTAAAAATTTATGATCTTCACTTACCAATTCTTACTCCGCCAGGTGTTAAATTGCCATTATCATCAAATATAGTGACCTTATTGAGAGTAATATGACACATCTCACAGACCTTCTCAAAATTTTTACCTATAAATCAAATACGGCAGGGAACATAAGTAAAGTAGAATAAAACCAAATAATCAGTTACAGAAGCTATTGCTAAAGTTTTGGGTGCACAAAAATAACATGCCATAGATATTTACCAAAACAGTAAATAAATCCACTCATACTGCACATTCACACGCGTTCTAGAGAGTTAGTATATAGGCTATAGCACTTATCAAAATCAAACCTTAAACAAATTATAAACAAGAATTCGGCCAAATCCTAATTAACATCTCAGACTAGGAGTGCACAAGTAATTCCAGTACATCCTTAAACCAAAGATTCCATGTCCCTGTATCATATCCACAAAAAATAAAATAGAGAAATAGAAAAGAGAACACCATATATCTCAGTTTACAAAACAGGCTTCATTGGACAAATATAAAGGGTTAAATTAATTAATTTTTTTTTTTTTGTAAAAATAGAAAATTCAGCTTGAACTCAAAAAAATACAATTAGACTCCATTTGATAGCCTTAGTTTTCCATGGAAAAGGAAAATGTTTGATAGCCTTAGTTTTCCATAGAAAAGGAAAACATTTTCCTTTTCCACCCTTAAAAAGCTGTTTGAAAGGTAAATTTTTCCATGGAAAACATTTTCCACCTTTTTCTAAGTACAATCATTTGATGCACAAAAACTTGACTTTGTTTTCTCACCTATTAGGTGGGAAAATATTTTTCACCTTTTTTTTTTAGCAATGACAGCCAATTCTATCAACTATTGTAAAAAGAATTTTCATTTTTGTTGACAATTTCTATGTAAAACAAAGTCAAACGAATATGATAATTTTTTCTAATTGTTTAATTTATTTTTTTNGGTAGAAAAATTATCACTTTAATGGACAATTTTTATAAAAAAAGAAGCCAAACGGACACCAAACTTTCAACATTTTTCAGGTAGAAAATTATACCAATCAAACACAATTAATTACAATTCCCAGGAAAACATTTTCTAGGAAAATCTTTTCCCTGTAAAATATTTTCTTTCCACCCATTTTCCACCCTTGCAATCAAACGGACTCTTAAAGTATTTGAGCAAGTCAAATCGCTATGATAATACATAATTCAACAGATTTTTGCTTTGACAAATTAAATAAGATTTTTCAGCTCTAGATTGCTATAAATAGTTGTAAAAAAGGCTATACAATGTATAAAATAGAAAAATATTCATGCAAAGCTATCTGATTGATTGAGTAGAAATTATTACTTGATACTTAGTCACCAAATTAACTTAGAAAAAACATTGGTCAATTCTGTATTTTGAGCTTTAAAAGTACCATAGAATATCCAACTTACAATCCACTAAAGTTTTTCTGTCTCTGGACTATCAAACTTAAATTGAAAAACATATTCCAGACAACAAAACTATAAGAGCTTGTTTGGGAGAGATTTTTGGGGGAAGAATTGATTTTGAATAGTGACATGATGGAAAATACGTGGTTGAAAAAGAAGAAAAAATCATTGATGTGATGAAAAATATTATTTTANACGTGGTTGAAAAAGAAGAAAAAATCATTGATGTGATGGAAAATATTATTTTATTGAAGAACGTATGATTGAAAATGAGAATTGATTTACTGTAGGAAAATCTAATCCCTCCCAAACAGGGCTAAATGAATCATCAAAACTTAAGAAAAATATCCATGGCAAGCATGTCAAAGAAATTCTAACATGCCTGTGCAGCTATGCTGTTCAATGACAAGGCTCTCCATGCTCACGTGCTATATAGTCCTTGGAGGATAATTTGATAATTTCCTTCCATGAAACTAAACATGACCTCTCCAAAAACCCACCAATGCAAAAATGACCTTTCCACTACCCACCAGTATGAACAGTGGATAAGGGAAATTGGACCATGATGAAGTAAATTGGTGAAGTCACCTAACCTCAACGATGCTCCACAAACAACATAACTGATCACGCATACACTACAAGAAGTGCTCCAAGTACCAGATTTTCTTTAGATATTGTATCTTAAAACTGAATCACAGTGTGTGGAAGTCAGGTGCATCACTCCTATTTGAAATATTGCGGACTTGAACAAGAGCTCTCAACATTAAGAGCAAACAACAGTACCAAGAGGTAAAGGAACCATACAAGTAACATATTAAATATATAAATTCAAAGAAACATGATGCATTACAGCTCACAAATATAGCATGGACATGAAGACCCAGAACTTAAGCCCGATCTATACACTCATACAGAAGAATGTGCTTCATCATTTAAATGGTCATCTTTCATTCTAGTTCCTTTGCTGATTCTTTGTGACTGGTCAATTGAACTTTTGCAATTTTGTTCCCCTTCGCATAAATAAATCACACTGTACAAAATCACTAAACTGATCTTATACTTGTATACTACAGGCAGAATGTTCTGGTAATTTGTTGTAATTGGAATACTATACAGCAAACTTACAAAACCAATTTGACTATTAAAGAATCACAGTGCACAGGTTGCATCAACAATATAGGTGTACTTCAGTTGTTAAATTGTCAGACGAGAGTGCAAGAAATTTTGAATATAACGTAATACCTGTCAATCCGAGGTTTCTAAGATCCCAAAGCAACAAATGATTGTCAGTGCCTCCAGTGACTAGTCTACAATTTCTTCTTAATATAGCAGATGCTAAAGCCTGAGCATTTTTCTTCACCTGCTGCATATATGCCTTGTACTCAGGAGTGGCCACTTGTTTCAATGCTATAGCTAGAGCTGCAATGTGGTTGTTGTGCGGCCCACCTTGAAGTGCAGGGAAAACTGCAAAGTTTATCTTTTCCTCAAAATCATATCTATCACTGCCTTCACCTTGATTCAAAAGCATGCCTCTTTTCCTTGGCTTCGGGCCCTTCCTGTAAAAAATAATACCTCCCCTCGGACCTCGAAGACTTTTGTGGGTTGTTGAGGTAACAATATCACAGAATTCAAACGGACTTACGCACTCCTGCAGATACAGAATCATGCACATGATTAAAAGATCAAGGAACCTTGAAAATTAAAAGGGGAACAGAAGTAAATACAAGAAACTCTGACACAAGGCTTGCATGAAAATAAATTATAGGCCCCAAATGTTCAAAAAGAATGACCAGACAAAGCTTATACGCTTGCATAATATCTGAATATCAGACATGAGAAAAAAATCCAAAGGCAAAGCATCTAACATATTTCTTCTTATGAGCACTAATAGTGGAAATCATATTGAGATTCTAATTGACAGAACAATATGTTAATTTACAGATTGAAATCTGATCATAAGGTTGCATAAACTTACTGAACTAAAATTTTGGGTGTGAACTTGTCATTGATATCTATGACAAACAAATACTGCTTAAAATATGAAGAGTGCAATACTTATTTCTCTAGCCTTGTGTCTGCGAATAAGAAACTGTCCAAGTAACAACACGAAATTTAGGACTCGTATGGGGGCACTCTGCAGAGAAAGAATATTTATAAAAGATATGTTAAATGTTCATATTTGGTTGCCCATCAACCCTTTTCCAAATCATGTTTTCAAGAATCCTAGGTGATTCGAGAAATAAACAAGACCCAAAAGATATGTATAAGCCAGCACACTATATACCTTAGAGCTGAATGGAATCATTTCATGACACCAGGATAAAATATACTAGTAGCCATCACCACCAATCACCCTTCCCTATACCCTTCACCACCACTATGCCCCACAGCTCCTTGTCTCCTTTCCCACCATCTTTCCTATTCCCAGTCCCTGCTACGGGTTGCTATGCAGAACAAGCAAAAGCAAAAATTACATTAAAGACCCCTAGATTATTTTTCACCCCTTGATCAAGTTGAAGAATGATGTATCTATAAGCATCTTCTTTAGACTATTGCGGACTTGAGTGTACTATAATCTTTAATTCCGATGAATACGAGTTTTCAACAAGTTCCATGCAAAGGTGTATTCAGTATTCCAACTTGTACTGACATATAGGACCATGATTTCAAAAAAGCCGAATCGTTTTTCAAACTCTTTTCAGAATAATCAAAAAAAGGGAAAATGACACAAAGTTTTTACATGCTCCCACTTGGGTCCTTACTGTCCTTACACAAGTGACGTCCAAATCAGACCCAAAGTTATGTGAGAATAGTTGCATTCTCTGTCCACTTTTCTGTTCAGTATTTAAGAGAACACAAAGTTCAAAGTCCACATCGAATAGCAAGAGAGTGGCATATAGATTAATTGAATAGCACTGATGGGCAAGTGGCACAAATTAAAACATCCAAACAATTAAAACATCCAAACATCAAAAGTGTAATGCTAATAGCTATTGAAAAATGAGAAGATAAGGAGAGGTCCCTAGTTCTAAGAATGATGACCTAACTAGCATAGTACAACCAATTCCATTTTAACCAAAGCTCCTCATGTAAATTATATCAACTCAACTGCTTAAGAAAAACAAGATTAAATGAATTGTCATCAGTTTACAATTTCAAAAAGTATAGTTAAGACCAGAACCATACAGGTGAAACTGGAATTGCAGTCTAAAAATAATTCTCATGAAGAGTACAAAGACTACACAAAACCCCTGAAAGCATCTGCTCAAATGAACATATAACTCAATATCAGAAATACAGACGATTACCAAAGCAAAACATGCACAAGAAAAACATCGTGCCAGTATCAATAAAAAGTAAAAACCAATAAAATGCAGAAAGACTCGCACCTTAGCAGCAATAAGACCACTAATCTGAGCCATGTCACACAACAAAACAGCTCCGCATTTATCAGCAATCTGTCTAAACCTAGCATAATCCCACTCCCGAGGATATGAACTCCCACCACATATTAATATCTTGGGACGAAAATCAACCGCCTTCTCCTCCAGCTTATCATAATCAATATATCCTGTCTGAGGATTCACCTTATAAGACAAACTCTCAAAGAAAATTGATGCCCCTGACACCTTTCTCCCATTTGGCAAATAACAACCGTGACTTGTGTTTCCACCAGAAGGCGTATCCAACCCCATTATCCTATCACCGGGCAATAACAACCCAGTGTAAACCGCAAAATTTGCAGATGTACACGAATATGGCTGCACATTCACACCCCAACTCTCAGAATCAAGCCCAAAAGCAGCCAATGCACGCTCACAACAGAGTATCTCAATCTCGTCTATATATTGATTTCCACCATAGTATCGCGACCGGGGCATCCCTTCAGAATATTTATTAGTTAAATGGCTCCCCAAAGCCTCCATTACTGCTTTACAAACAAAGTTTTCTGAGGCAATTAATTCAATTCCTTTATATTGCCTCATCTTCTCCTTCTCCATTATTTCGAACACATCTGAATCAGCAAATCGCAAGCTCTGATTCCCCCATGCCCTCACAGCGTTCCTACGCAATTCAAGCTCATTTGAGGAAGCCCTGAGACTCTTCGCAGGCAAGGACGATGTTGATGACGCCAAATCACAGTCCAGCTTCCTCTTCAAACACATCGAATGCCCCCAAAACCGAAACTCCTCCACATCTTTCTCCTCTCCAACTTCCTCATTTTCTTTTTTCTCTTCGTTCGAATTCTCTTCTTTGCAGTTATGATGATTCCCCGTTTGCTGGTCCATCAATTGGAGTGGAATAGAAGGCACCGGATGCGCCATTTCCTGAATCCTCGACTCGATTTGAAAGGAGATAGAGTCATCCAGGACTTTCGAGCTTCGATCATTCTTACTACCACTCGGTACAGTAACCACCGATGAATGCGATAAAATCCCCAACGACAGGCTATTACTCGGTGGCGATTGAGTAAAATCCATTAGAGTGATACAACCAAAAGCAGCAAAATAACGTTTTTGTCAATGATATTTCGAATTTAGAATTCAAATTGAAACCCTAACCCCCAATCTTTTCAACAGCGTCGACAGTAGCAGTAACGGCGGCAACAGAAACAGCGACAGGGGCGGTGGTGCACCGATCGGATAGACGTTGACTGGGAAATTGTTGATAAAGCTTCCATAAAAATGAATAAATCTCAAAAAATAAACCCAACAATTGGAAGTTTAGGTGGAAATTACAAGCTCAAAAATAATATATATTATATGTAATGTAAGAGAGAAATGTGTGGGCTTGACGAAGAAGGAGGGGGAGATTCAGAGAGGAATGCACCTGGACGATTTTCAGAAGTGGGGTTCCGGTGACCTATTTGATGGACCAGGAGGGGTTAATTCTCTGCTGTGCATATGGTATGCAACCGGGTGTTTTATTGGTCCACGTAATGAGATAACAGGGTGACGGTGGGCCCTATAAGATTCTTTAGCCCCTGTTTTGTCCGAATTAAAATCTAGATTTTCATCTAAATCCACAATTAGAGCATGTTTGGCTAAACTTAAAATCTAATAAATATTGAAAATATAGTCGTTATTGTGTCTTACTCGTCTAACAGAAGTTAACAATAACGGCTAGTTTTTCAATTTTAATTCGATTTTAATTTCTACCGAACACGCCCTTAATTTTAACCACTCATTTCATGGGATCCATAACTTTTTAATCGCACATTTCACCAACTTTTATCAAAATCCATTAAAAATCTAATTTTAATCCTCATCGAACGGTGGCTTAGTATTTTGGATGAACATTGATAGAAATGATGGTTTGCGCTATCAAATTATAAAATAAAATGTATGAATATTTTTCACAATAATAGTGAAATGTAGGGATATTATGTGTTAATTACCGTTTTGGTAATTTATTTGGGACTCATTTGCGCTTTTCAAAAAAGTTGAGATTATGTTTGCAATTAGTTTTTTTCTTTTTCCTTTTGTTTTATTTAAAGAGAATTATATTTTCGTCATTTCACAATTTCTAATTGAGAAAATAGACAAAAAGATATTTTGCGCAATGAAAGGTGAAAATGCCAAAAAATGAAAGGTATGGACATTTTCCACAATAACAGTGAAAGATGAGAACGTTATGTGTTAATTATTCGAAAGAAAAGTATTCTAAATATTATATTTTATTAATAATAAAATAATAATAAAATCCATTTCAATTCATGTATTGAAAAGAAATTTTATAATTTAATAAATTAAACAGAATTAATCCATTAATTTCGATAATAATTAATTTAATTAATCCCATAAACACCTAATTTACGTTTGGAATTAAATTATTAAACCTGAAAAGGCGTTTAATTGACTTGGCGCGCGCACACACTGTTGGAAATAATTTTCTTTGGTCAAATACGTCAATCCTACGAGACATAAGAATTCTTAAGAAATTTCTTGAGCTATTAGACCAGTTTACTCTAAATCTAAAAATGTGGTCATGATATGTTATTTTATATTCATATCATGTTAAATAAGAATACGTACATATTTTTATCGAGTGTTTTCAAAATACTCACTCTTACTATAACTTTTCAGAGTAAAACGGGTCACGTGAAAGATTGATCGAGTGATATTTATGAGTCGCCAAGTAAAATTTCTAAAAATGATAATTGCCAATTTTTATTTGAAGAATGTTTTTTTTTTATTTTGTGCACGTTATTTTAGTGTTAAGAGAATTTGACATTCTATGTTAAATTTAAATTGATGGTTTGAAATCGTAGTATTTCAATATTTTATTTAATATGAATTTATTCATTTAAATTGTTGGTTTATCATTATCGATTTACTGATCAAATCTTAAAATTTGAATAAAAAGGAATTTTCGCTTAAATTAGATAAAGAAGATTTTTGGTAACACTTTTAAGTCTATTTTCTTTATTAAATAATAATAATAATAATAATAATAATAATAAAAGAAATAGATTTTGGACGTTATTAATAGGAATAGTTTTTTTTAAAGAAAAAATGTGTTAATAAAAAAGTTTTGGAATTATATGTAATATTATTTTATTAAAAAATGTGTTATTGATAAGAAAAAAGAAAAAAAATAAATTATAATTTTAAACAGGGCTCTATAAGCTAAGCCAATACCCGAACTGCATCGTCGTCACGCTACTGATTGGATAAATCCCATGGGCTACACCTCCTCTTGCACCCTCGTAAATAATCGCTATCTCCTCCCCTCGCAAAATGCTAGGGTCCTGAATCTCAAAGCCGTTCAAGGAGAACAAAATTCGAGGCCTCTAATCACAATGTCTCAAGTTAAGATTCCACATGTTCTTACTGTCGCCGGCTCCGATTCAGGAGCCGGAGCCGGCATCCAAGCCGACCTCAAGGCTTGCGCCGCCAGAGGAGTTTACTGTTCTACTGTCATCACCGCCGTCACTGCACAAAACACAGTTGGAGTTCAGGTGTTATTACTTTCCGTTAAAACTTGAATACTGATAGTAATTTTTGGTGGAACTTTTGATATTTGTGAACGCAATCAGTACGAAATCTCAGTTAGAAGAAAGTACATTAAATTTGTTGGCTGAAAATGTTGATAATATATTAATTTTGAATAGATGAAGTAATACGTTGATACAGATGCTTGAAAATAGTTTGTTTGATCTAATATGGACTTCAAGTTGTGACAGAGATAAGTAGTACATATCACTAGTATGAATCAACGTCCTTCTTTATTATGTTTTTAGCTAACTTGATTTTGATGTTTTCAGGGTGTAAATATTGTGCCAGAGGATTTTGTTCGAGAGCAACTGGAATCAGTGCTATCTGATATGCACCCCGATGTTGTAAGTTTACAGAAATGACATCTGTTGATGCTGAATATGTTATCTGCTCATTTTGTCATGATATTTGGCCACTGTTTGTGATGGTGACATTGATGAAATGGGTTTAGGTGAAAACTGGCATGCTACCTTCAACTGGAATAGTCAAGATCCTCTCTCAAAGCCTCAGGGAATTCCCCGTTAGAGGTGATTGGGGTATTTTTACCTGTGTCCTACAGTTTCCGGTTGTACTGGATTTTGAATTGACATTGTTGATTTCTTCGAAAAAGCTCTGGTGGTTGATCCTGTTATGGTGTCTACAAGTGGGGATGTACTGGCTGGTCCTTCTATTCTGGATAGCTTTCGGTATGTTGCCAAGATGAAATACTGAAATTCTTCTGCTCTTTCTGTTGAATTCTGATATGCCTTACTCATTGAATACATGCTACTTTTATTGTATCTATTGAACTGTGCTCCATGAATGTACTTGATGCTTATTTGCTCAAATAAATCCAAATGCTTTACTAGAATTATGTGATTGTGCACTTGGGTCTACTGTTTGTATTCTAAAAGAAGTGCTAATGCATTGGGGTAAATGAAGATGGCGTCGTTTCTCTTCATTCACTTGTGAGTTTTGGGAGTTACTCTCCTTTTACCTGCATAAGATCAAGTAACCGACAGTTGTGGCAGGTCTATGAGAGATGTATTCCTTCAATATCAGGTGTCCTTTTTCCTTGATATTATGTTTCATCTTTCTATGCATTTTAACAAATTCAAAGATGTTGGATGGGAAGTTTCAATTTATCTAGGAGTAGTGCCAGAGTAAGAGTTTTGAGTTGTGCATCATGATTAGGAGAACCAGGTCAAGGTTTTATCACACTGTAATAGTCATGTGGTACTTGCACCTGGCCGAGCATTAGGAAGAAGAATATTGGTTTAGTCGTGTTTTAAATAAAAAAGAGCAGTAAATTTTGCTGTATAACCAAAGAAACACAATTCAAGTTCACTGGTGTTGGTATTTCATCGCTCTTCTGCTCGAAAGGTTTTACATTTCTTTAGCAATTGAATGTTTGCATATGTTCTGAACTAAAAGAGATATTAAGCAATACCCTGCCACCTGCCAGAAAAAAACTGGAAAACAAAAAATTGTTCTCTGCCTCCTGGTTTTCTGCTCTATCTATGTTCTGTTTTGTTGATCAGTGTATTTGGCAATAGGTTAACTATTGAATTTCTTTTGTTAAGATTTTGACTTCACACTTTCCTTAGAGAATGGAGATTTGATTGTGAGTCATATGTTATTCTGTAGTTAAATTTACTTATTGAGGAAAGATTTATATCATCTTTAATGTCTTTTACCTTGTTTTAAGAAGCATATCAATTAATATTGGTTTCCCTTTAATTTTTATTATCTACTAGTCTATTATTTGAAAGCCTCTGAAATAGAAGCATAGCCTTCTTAGGCTTCCTCTTATGGCACATTTGGCTAGCGATAGTTGCTTTGTGAACGGGATGGTTACTTCCTAGAAACAGCTCTTCTTATATTGAGGTTCAAATGCTCTAATTTGTTGGGAATAGAATTCTGAGTTTTATGTCATCCTATCACAAATCTGCCAAAAACAATTCCATATGAATGCCCATTTACTTTTCTTGCTTCTGGTAAGTTATATTATTGAATATTTTCAAGAGGTCTATTTATGTACCGAAACAACTCTTGAGAATCTTTCTCTACTGCATGTAAGGTCATAGTCAAAACTCTTTAGTATTTTCTTTTCTTTTAACCTTTTCTGAGGATTTGTTGCTGAGAGAGGAATTTCTACTTAAAAATTGAGATTTTCTGAATTTATTTGAAAGCGTACCCCTATCGCTCAATTTATAGTAATATAAATTTTGGTGAAGGGTGCATGTACAGTGTTACCTTTATGTCTCTAAATCTTTTTGACTCATTTTGGTCCTTTTTACAGCTAATTTTTATTTCTGATACTAGAGAGGAGCTTCTTCCCATGGCCGATATAGTGACTCCAAATTTAAAAGAGGCATCTGCTTTACTTGGTGGCATACCATTGGAAACAGTTGCTGACATGCGCTCTGCTGCAAAATCCATTCATGATATTGGTGCACGGTCAGCAGTTGAATGCTATTATATGGATTATGTTAGCTATATTCCTGGAATCTCTCTGCTGATAGGAGTTGAAACGAAGCGCGGTTTTCTGATCGGCAAAAGGAAAAAAATTATCCATCATTAACTTGATTAGGTCTTGGATTAATGTAAACCTAAGAATTAAACCTGGTATCTATTATTAATTATAGCTAGGGTTATCTAAAAGCTGGCAAAGTCATACGCTGGCTGGGTAGGCAGAAAAAAATGAGATTTTTACAAGTTGGTTTGAGCTTCCTCGAATGTGGCAGCATCTTGATTTACATGATTTTCGGGATTGTTTGTTAATTGTTATGCTTGTAAGCGGGGCTCGAGAACCCCGTTTTCTCGTGAGGTTTTTCAACATATGTTGAAATTAGTTTGTAACTGAGCCCCGTTTGCACCCCCTCCCATTATTTGAAATTTTAATGGTTGGAATAGTCTTTTTTTTGAAAAACTCGTGGTTTAAAAAGAAAAAAAAATACTGGATTACGTGTAATATTATTTTATTGGAGAATATGTAGTTGATAAGAAGAGAAAGAAAAATGATTATAATTTTAATGGGGGCCAAACATGAGCTGAATATTGTAACAACATTTTATTTTTCAATATTCGTTGAAATTAATAAAATATTAAAAATGTATAATTTAATTTCAATAAAATATTGAAACATAATAATATGTTGAAATTCAGTTTTCATTTTTTAATACTTTAATTTCAACACATGTTTTGCTTGACGGGAAGAACTTGTTCAATTTCAATTTGTAACAATTTTTTACTTGTTTCTTCTATGTTTGGTTAAGCTTAAATAAAATAATTTCATATGTATCTGGAAATGGAACCATTTCTAAGTGAAAAAAATGGTAAAAACTTGAGTAAACATAATTAGTTCTCAATTATCTCTTAAGGAAAATTTTTCCTTTTGTTTGAGCTAAACCATGCAAGAATGCAAACAAAAGTACTTTTTAGTTGACAGTGGAAGAGATTGCATTAGTATGTCATAGTACTCTTGCTTATTGCACTAGTCGTGACAAAAGACATCCTGAAGTTTCCTGATCACTTGTTCCAGATGATATCATCATTCTTCAAATTTTGATAGACATTTTCTCTTTAAAAGATAAAGCGAGTGTCATGGATATATTTTTAATTTTAAAGGCGGTGATAAAAAAATCCAACGAATGAAATGGTGCTTTACCTGGACCTTGGGTTCTGGTTCTGGAGCTTGTTCTGTTTGAATAAAAATCCTTGTGCTTTGGATATTATTTCATAAACTCATGAAGTATTAGCGCTGAAGAATTAAAGAAATTGCTGGACATCAATCAAATGTATAGATAAGTTTACTGAAACAGAACAGGGGTATTGAAATGACTTTGTTGTTTTCAGAAATGTCCTTGTTAAAGGAGGCGACCTTGCTGATTCCTCAGATGCGGTTGATGTTTTATTTGATGGTATGTTTGGCATATTTCTTGTAATTCTCTAACAATATCACCAAACTTGTGCATGAATTCCATGCATCTGATATATTCAACTCATTTGATTGTGCAGGCAAGGATTTCTACGAGTTCCGGTCCTCCCGGATAAAAACTAGGAATACTCATGGAACCGGCTGTACTTTAGCTTCATCTATAGCAGCTGAGCTAGCCAGAGGTTCTTCGCTGTTTTATGCTGTAAAGGTGATTGACATTCTGATAATCTTATTATAGTTAACCATTGATACTTCTGCGACATGCAGAATTCCACAGTACTTACAAATTGTCTGTTTGTCAAATTGGCACTGTGTCTTTTTTTTTTTCCATCTGTTCCATTCTTTTCAGACAGCTAAACGCTATGTTGAGACAGCCTTGGATTATAGCAAGGACATTCTTATAGGAAATGGCCGTCAAGGTCCTTTTGACCATATGATGAAGCTTAAGAATAATGACATGAAGCTTTCTCGGCACCGACCATTTGATCCAAATGACCTTCTCTTGTATGCTGTCACTGACTCAAGGATGAACAAAGATTGGGGCCGTTCCATCACTGATGCTGTGAAAGCTGCCGTAGAAGGAGGTGCCAGTATAGTTCAATTGAGGTTTGTTGTGTTTTGTAAATTGCTGCTGTTTCTTTTTACCTTCTTTTTGTTGTTTTATTACCTGAATATCTGTGAGCATGTTTGAAATCTTGTTTTCCAGATTTTGGATCTGCCTGCAAAATCATCATTAACTAATTTTTGTATGGCTAAGCTGACTCACTATGCAGTTCTTCCAATATCTCCAACATATCAATGGCTGGGACCTAATTGTCTCTGTGCTGAACATGGAAAACCTTTTGTTGCTCAATATAACTTGGCCTTAAGATCTGAGAAAAAAATTTGAAAGAAGTCATTTGAACTTGAGAATAATAAGTTATTCAATTCTTTGTCTTGCTTAAAAGCATTCGAGTAACTTTTTCCTTTTTGAATGTAAAGGATACAATTCATCTATATTTGTAGACAAATGATGGAGAACAAGTTCAAGTAATAGTGGGACGAACGCTAAAGACAAAGAACTAAAAGTTGCATGGTCTTGGGATATGACCTGTGACTTATATGGCTAAGATTGGTTTATGGGGTATTTTATCATGTCTAATTCAGCTTATCACAATATTACCTCCGGAATTTAGTCTAAAAGAGAAAGGAAAAGCTGTTTTTAAGTTAAAAAGAGTCCAGCTCATATGTGTCCAATATGCATTCTGCTAAATGCTATTATTGCAACATTTGCAGAGAAAAGGATGCTGATACCAGGGACTTTCTAGACGCAGCCAAATCATGCTTGGAAATATGTCGTCAACATGGTGTACCTCTGCTGATAAATGATAGAGTTGATATTGCACTTGCTTGTAATGCTGATGGTGTTCATGTTGGTCAATCTGATATGCCTGCTCGTGTTGTTCGCACTCTTCTTGGGCCGGACAAGATCATTGGTGTCTCGTGTAAAACACCCGAGCAAGCTCATGTAGCTTGGATCGAGGGGGCTGATTACATAGGATGTGGCGGTGTATATCCAACAAACACAAAAGAAAACAATATTACTGTTGGTTTAGATGGGCTAAAGAATGTATGTCTGGCGTCCAAGTTACCAGTAGTTGCCATCGGGGGCATTGGTATGTCAAATGTACAACCTGTAATGGAATTAGGCGTCCCAAGTCTGAAAGGTGTTGCAGTTGTGTCTGCTCTTTTCGACAGGGAATCTGTTTTGAGAGAAACCCAAAATTTACGTAGAGTGCTGTTGGATTCAATCACTACAGCAAAATGAAAACGTACGAGAATTCAAATTGCTTTGGTCGTCATTTTTGGATTAAAGTCATATAAAGGATTCACATGGACACAAATCGTATTTGAAGTGAATGAGATCAACCATCCTAGAGTTGTGAAGTTTATTCTAATGCATCTGAATTTTGTTTTTCTTATAAGTAGCTTTTGGTAAATTTTATGTACAAGTAGTTTTATATTTGACGTAATTGTTACTTATAAATAAAGTTAGGATCATAATTATATGATATTTTATGTAATAAAAATTATACGGTGGCAGAAAAAATTTCATCCAAAATTTT